CAGCAAAAAGGCGAACCGCACCAAGCTCCGCGCCAAAGTATTCGGCCCCGTCGAGCAGGCGCGCGCCGAACGTCTGCACGCCAAAATGCTCGAGACCATCGCGCAGCCCAAGCCTGAAAGAAGCGAAATGGACACAGCTGAAGACGGTACGTTGGTCGCATTCACCTCTCCATGTACCCACGCTCACTCTGCCCCAGCCAACACCGCCGACGATGCTACCAAGGACGACGACGACGACTTGCCCAAAGGTTCGTCTTTTCTCACTGCCCCCATTCCGCCCGCTCTGTGCGATCCCTCCACCAAAGCCCTCGATCCTGCACAAGACTGCGACCTCACGAATCTGTGCTTGCACCTGGGCTTGTGCTCCGACATTCTTGGCTTTACCAGCAATGGCCACCTCAAGTTTGCCTTTGACCCGCTCCCTCTGCAGTGGTCGGGTAAGAACCAAAGGCTAACTTTGTCTACGTAGATATGGACGTCGATGGCGCTGCCGCCGTTGCTGTCGCAAAGAGCTCCACCAAGAACAAGGACAAGAGCCAGACCCGGAAACAACTTCGTCGCAAGTCGAGCAACAAGATCTCCTTCCCCGCCTCCAAAGGCAAAGGAGCCCTCAAGCCCTTCCACGGTCAGCGCGCTGGCCCCGGTCGCATTGGCAAACGACGACTATGAGTTATGATACATAATGGCGTTGAGCAAAGCATTTTACGGCGTTGGATCATGTTACTATTTCGCAGAAGAAGCGGGTTGGAAAGGATACCACGTCCTGAGAGGACATTTACTGTATGCGCAAATCCAAAATTTAACTTCTCATGTCACTCTTCAAATCTTGCTGGCTGACCATCTCACAGCCGTCATCCTGACCTACATTTTCCTTTCTTTTCGTCATGTGCTCGTGTTTATCATTTTCCTCTTCCACTCGCCTGATCAACCATGGCCAACTACGCCTCGAAATCGATACCTTGGCCATCCAGTCCGCCAAACAAGCTGCCAAATAGTCCTTCATTAATGGTTTGTAGCGTCATATCATCCAATGGCTCAAAGTCCTGCGAAGAGTCAAGGAAGGACCACTGACTATCCCATTCCGCGAGTGCTGATACTGTCTGCTCATTGGCATGACCAGACGACATCTCTGTATTCGACATCAGCCTGCGTTGTAGATTGATCGTACCGAAATACGGTATGCGAAGCTGGAGCAAATTCTTTTCGCCATCAACAAATTGTCCATCAAACTCCTGTCCCTCATCACCTTCACGGGTAGAGGCGCTGTAGCCAATACCACTAGCCGACGCCCCTTCAACGTCAAGCAGATGTCGCATGGTGTTGGAGAGCTTTATCGCAATGGAATCATCATCCATGCCATTCAGAATCTCTACCGTACGCTCCATCATTGCGCGATCGCCCGGACGGCTGTGATCGAGCACTGCCCCTAGCCAGGCTGTGGGCTGGTTTTGCGCATCAATGTGAGCGGTACATAATACAGTCAGGGCTATGAAGGAGAGAAAGTCAACTCCGCGACAGTAGTAAAGTCCGGAATTCCAATTGCGGAAGGCGATCGTCCCTTGCACTGCATACATGTGGTCAGCGAGAAAGCTAGATGCAGAGAGGCAAGGCTGAGGCGTACGAGATCCATTCGCTGGGTGCGAAACGCTTCACTCCGGCCTTTATGCAGGCGTCTATCAGATTCTTCTGGCACGAGGCGGCATCTGCTTGCTCCGTGTGCGGGGCGATGAAGGATAGCACGGCGGATACGCCGTGGAGGTGGTTGGCGAGTTCGTTCGCGTCGCTGTAGGTGGTTTGAACCCATGTCACACCATTGGAAGCGTTTGCGGTGGGAATGGCCTGGGACGTTGGCTCAGCAAGGGTTGGTGCACGGCGAAGTGAGGTAGAGCTTACCCTGCGGGTGAAGATTAAGATTTCATGCTTCTTGGTTGCGACAAGGACGTCGAGGATCTCTTGTCCTACGTCTGCGAGGCGTTTAGTACTGGGGTCTGGGGGGGAGGGGGAGCCGGGATACTTTTTACTTGCTTCCTGCGCCGCCTGCGAATGCGATTTTAACCATGTTGAAGGGACAAGTTGGTATTCGTGTATGCAATGTGAAAGCTGAGAGCTTGTAAGAGATGATAATGCCCACGCAAGCCTGATTTATACCTGAGTGACGAGCGACATTTCGGCCGAATGTCGCGTGCCTGAGTGGTGAGGCTATGCGCCCGAGGTTTCGGCGGAAGCGTTGCTGGTGCCCACTCTGGACATACGCTTCATCTTCCTGTAATCCTCCGATTCCGGAATTTCCTTGAGGATTAAGCATACCCTTTTTTCGCCAGTTTAGATTGTGAAGTAGAATGAGGTGGAATTACGGCACGTAGGATGTATGTGAGTCGAGATTTACTTGGACATCAAACTGCCTCCTGGTCAGTGACACGGATTACGCCATTCTGGCCACGGATGTCATTTTTGATTGCGCCTCTGTGTCATTATTTGAGGTGCCTTCATCATCATGCTAGCCTTGAAGCATCAGTGCTCCAATTGCACTGAGAATAGAACGGACGACAGTCCACCACGTCGATCCAACCTTGTCGGTTTCTCGACCTTTCGAGAGAACTCCGGCTCATAGCCTACGAGCAGATTACAAGTGAGCATGGGTCTGAACTGCCCTATTGATTCAGAGGTGTCTGAAAGACAACAGTCAAAAGCATTTGGTGATGGGTGAATAGGAGTGAATGAGAGACTCGGCGGAAGGACAACATCACGCTGGCAGCATCGAGTGAATTATCCATCCAGATTCGGCAGCAACGAATAGATCATTTCCTCTTCAACTTTGCATGAGTCGATAGACCCAGAAATTGTATTTGGTGTTAACAAAAGTGATGAATCCTTGATGACGAGCGCAAACAAGAAGACTGAAGCGGCAGGCAGAGGAGGTGCGGAAAAGAACCATCAAGATATCAAAAAACCTACGCAATCAATGTACAAGCCAGCGTTCCAGCAATAGTCATGGCTTGTGCGAACTCAGAACAAGAGGCGTGGAGAAGTAATGCATGCACTTCAGGGTCCTCGACCGCCTAGCGTCGTGCTAGCGTCGATGACGTATGGCGACACGCGATTTCCATGATACAAGGCAGCTGCAACAGAACGCGACTTTTGTGACAAGAAAATTCAAGCCATGCCCCCGAAGAAATTGAACAAGGAGAGCGAGCAGAAGCCGAAAGAGGATGCGCATTCCAACAAGCCTGCCGTCTCCGACGAGGAAGTCCGCCAGGAATCAGGAAAGGCTGCCGACGCCGCTCTTGCAGCACAAAAGAAAGCAAAAGAGCTGAAAGATGCCGCTGCTGCTGCCGGCGACCCAGATGAGCGACAAAGGTTGACCGAAGAAGCCACAAACGCTCAGATCGAAGCCGAGTCGTTCGGAAAAACAGCAAAGTACCTTCGCTCAGGCGCTTTCCAAGGAGCGGCAATGGGCACAGGACTTGGAGTCGCGCCAGGAGCCACTTTAGGAGCGATCACTGGAACTCTAGTCGGAGGCATCTCATCGACTCTGCTTGGTGGGTTGGGTGCAGGCATTGGTGGTGCTACTGGAGCGCTCCACGGACCCTGGGTCAACATGGGCAAGTTAGCTGGGAAAGGGATGAAGAAAATGACGAGTTTCCTCCCCCAATGGGCGGCGAGTGAGGAACAGAAAAGGGCGCTAGAGAAGATGGTTGGGCAAGCTAATGAGGAGGAAATGCCTGGTACGGAGGAGCTTGAGAAGTTCAAGAGCGAGGGTGGAGCGGGCGAGGCTGATGAAGGGTGGATGAAGAGTGCGAAAGGGATGCTGCCTGAACAGAAAGAGGTATCTGATGCGGCCAAGGCGGGCGCACAGGCTACCGGTGGTGGAGCAGACGCGACGGAGCAAAGCCAGAACGATGAGCCATCAAAAGACCCCTCGACACAAGCAGGTGATGTCCAGGGTCGGAAGAAACCACGAAAACTGAATGCGAAACCAAAGGATCACGATGCTGGCGCACCGAAGACGGACGATGCTCAAGATACGGCCAGCGAGTCATCCAAGGACAATGCAAAGCCTGATACCCAGGATGATGGGCCCATAGATGAACGAGAGAGAAAGCTGGTGGAGCGTGAAAGCGACCTTGATCGTAGAGAAGCTGAGCTGGAAAAAAGAGAAAAGGCGCTAGCGAAGCGTGAGCAAGAGGTGGAGTCAAAGTCGGACGGCAATACCTCAGAACCAACAGCACAGAAGCCAAAGAGTCAGCCTCGGAAACTCGCAAGCAGATCATGATAGTTCCATCATGAGTCAAACGCTTTGGAGATACGGCGGCATGGGCTTATGTGGGTTTGCTAACGTGATTTTCACAAAAGGACTTCGCGACAAGTACAGACAATACAATACGTTCCAACTGCTTCCTGTCAAAACATCGTACATCTGCTCGAGCGTGCGACTTCAATGTGGACGTGGCATCGCAGGCCTTTCGCATCTTTGGCTTCTTGATGCGTTTACCCGTCGTGGACTACACCCTTTCTGGGCCCATTGGTATCTATTCAGTGGAGCAAAGTCTAGTCAGGGAGAAGCATTAAGAGCTTAGGCATATCCTCCTGCAAATTCTATTGTATCCAGCAAAAGAAAAATCGTTGTCAGCCAAAAGGCCGGGCCTATCGCAAGCCCTGGCACTGCTTTCTGGTGCAGCAAACATCAGGCCGGACTTATCCTCGCCGGGCGCTCAAAATTGTCGCCATTCTCTTTTTGCTTCACGGCCCGGCCAGAGCCCCTCAGTTCTGCTGTTAGTGTGCCCATAATCTTGCCGCCCGGCGAGTCAGATCGCTTCCCGCTTCGGAAGACATGCCGCAACCTCGCCGAAACTTTTCCAACACCCCACACAATCCTTCGACGCCCTGCCCTCAGTATCCTACCTTCTCCAAGCTGCTTACCTCGGAATATATTGGATTTGTCTCATCATTCTTCCATCAATCGAGCAAGATCAGGTTTCTGATCTTCCTCAGCAAGATTCGGGCTTGTGGTTTAGTGGTATAATACTCCCTTAGCATGGGAGTGGTCCAGGGTTCGATTCCCTGCAAGTCCATCATTTTTGCGCTTCCAGGAGTCGTTGTCGTGGATCCCGGGGCGGAATACACATTTTTTGGTGCTTTTGGTGAAGGTCTGTGCACTCATATCACATGACTCTAGGTCACGTGCGATGGCCGCCGAGCCTGCGACCACGAATCAACGTCACCATCACCAAGACACGTAGTTAGTCAAACGTCGACACAGACACGATGCAGCTGATGTCTGTCCCTCACGACGATGACGGATGCAACGCGACAACAACAGTTTCGTGCAATTGCAAGTTTCCAATTTATCAACCCAGCTTACTCAGTACGACTCTACATATCAATCACATGTGAACTCGGCGAAGGCGTCAATCTTTTTGAACAATCAATTGTGGTATCTAACTGCCTCCTGGTATCCCTTAGGCGCGGCACATGCGGCCATCAGTCTTGACAGTCCAGGCCTCACTACCTACACCGACTGTGGCATAGAACAAGTCGGTGGGGTCCCACTTCTTCTTGATGCTCAACAGCTTCTGGTAGTTTTCGCCCCAAAACGCAGTCTGAAAGTTTGGTTGACGGAAATCAGCCTCGTTCACGTACGACCCACTACCTGGTGTTGCAGCCTCAACAAGCGGCATGATCACGTCAGTCATCTTGTTCTGTGTCTCCAAGGCCTCTGACCACGGAGCAGTGAAGTTCCATGGAAGAGTCAAAGTGGCATGCACAATGGCCTTTCGCCACGCCGGATGGACAGAAGTCGTCTCCTGCGAACCGAAGGACTTGACGTCAGTTCCGACACCGATCCACGTTACTCCCTTTTCGACGATGGCTTTCCAGGTCTCGGTGATGTTACCCACGACGCTGCGCGGGATGAGACGAGTGCCGTACTGCGCGATTCCCACTTGGATGTTGCCGAGGGGAAGGGGACCGAAGTACTTGTCGTAGTGCTCGTAGTAGTTATCGAATTCGCTATACGCAACGGTGTAGTTGATGCCCATAGAGTCCAACCTAGCGACGAAGGGTGAAAGCATGGCCTTTACATCTGCTTCGCTCTTGTTGTAAGCGGTGAGCGGGGCGATTGAAAAGAACGAGGAGGTAAAGTAGTGGACAACCATGGCGCCGGCATCAACCATGCCAGGTAGCTCTTCCTGGAAGGCCTGGATGGCGTCGTAAAACACATCCTTTGCGTTGTCTGTGGTGTAGAATGACATCGAGGCGCCGCCAAAGACAGCTTCCTTGTGGGCCTTGATCGTCATCGAGACTACTACACCATACGTGGATCCACCGCCGCCGTTGAGCGCCCAGTATAGGTCCGAATTCTCGTTGGGGCTGGCGGTCACAAGCTCGCCGCAGGCTGTGACGACTTCCCAGCTCAAAACGTTATCAGCCGCCAGGCCAAAGCTGGTGCTGACGGCGGAATGCCCGCCGCCCTGGGTGTAGCCGCCAGCAATGCCCACTGTTGGGCACTCGCCTCCGACTGTGACCAGACCTTGGTCTCTAGCGGCAGCCATCAACTCAAAACCCTGGACACCCGCACCTACTTTGAAGGCAGAGCCACTGTAATGAGAGCTCTCGTATGACGGGATGTGGGTGATATCCTTGAGATGGTGGGTCCACACCGCCAGTGAGCCCGCGCCAGTGGAACGTCCAAGGTAGTCATGACCAGTGTTGCGAATCACTAGGCGGATGTTCTTTGATGCAGCAAATGCGATAGCCTGCTGCACATCCGCGGGTCCTGACGCATCCACGGCGTATCGAACATAGTTGCCAAGCTCGCAAGGGCGGTCCCGGGGTGTATAGGGATCACAGCTCTGGTTCGCAAAGAACGGCGCCATGACCGACGAAGAAGACTCATAGCTGGTGGTATGATGTAAGTGCAAGGTTCTTGAAACACGATTAAAGTAACATACTGAATCTGCTCGTATTGCCATTGGCTTTTAAGAGTCTCGCAAGTCGCATGGTCGAAGGCCGAACCATGGCATGGCGCACCAAGTGGTACAGTCGCAACCAGACGCCCGCCTACGGTTTCGTTCAAAGCCCCCCATTCCGCCTGCGACGGCCATGACTTATCTCCTGGAAAGGTTTTGCAGTCGTCAGAAGAGCCGGCGGCAGAAGCGACGCCTACAAGGGCGAGCGGCAAGATTGGAAACCGCATGGTGAAGTGATTTGCAGAAGAGAGGATGCTGGCTGTCGGCCAAATTTAATAGCGCCCAGCAGCCAGCTCATTATAAGAGAAGCTATGAATGCCTTGCATGCTCGTGTGGCGAAGGGGCTAGGATAGTTGTGGCATATAAAAGGTTAGTGTCCGATGGGTGGGCCGTCCCGGTAACGTCCATGACCGACTCCGCCGGCAGATGGTTTTAGTCTACAAGGCCACCCTCGCCTTACAAGCATGCTCCCCGTTCTGGTCATCCGCGATCTACATGCTCCGCAACTTCAAGAAGATGTTCATGGACGTCTTTTGCGTCGAGCGCGCGTCTCTTGTGTGTTACAGTGACTTTTGGCACGAGGGGTTATTGATCGAATTCGCTTGCAGAATAAATTGGCCGAGGAGGATCCAGGGTTCAGTCCCCACCTGCCTGCATCGAGAGCATATCCGAATAACCGACTAACATTCTACAAGGGGCGGGTCGGCGGTTCTTGTACACGAGCCGCAAAGTCTTCAGTTCATCGTTCCAGGCTGGAGCAGTCCCCATATTCCATCTTATCTCGCGCCAACCGCAACATCCCATGGTTCGACCAAGGCTCGTATCATTCCATGCGCACGCCCATCCCTTGCTATCCGAATTCTCTCCACCTTTTCCAATTTTCCATATGGCGCAATGCATTGCCGCTGATATCGTAGTTGCGGGCTCAGCTACAGCAGAGTCCCTTTGGTAAAAGGTCGAAAGTACATAGCCTATTCGCCATTGCACGGGCTTGGGCGAGAAATTCTACTGTAAAACTCTTGATGTTAGCCTACATAGCCAATTTTAGCGCTACTATAGTGTGGTCTCGGTCTAAATTTCATCGAAATAAGAACCGAGCCGGTCTGATCCTCCTGAAGCGGAGGCAAATAGCCGGACGAAGTCAATGCTTACCCCCCACGGCAATTCAGTATCCGTGGAATCGGGAGTCACTTCCCCGGCGATAATTTTGGCTGTATTGAACAGTGTTACAGTCGTTAGCAAAAGCAGTCGGGCTGTTCCAATATCAAGATGAGCTCACGATAGCTTCACCAGAGCAAGACCAGGCACGGGAAGTGCATTTCATCATCATGGGCTGGGCCTACAACACTCCCGACGACCTTGAGACCGACGGACCACACATAGCCGCTCTTGCAATCATTCTCACGGTCGCCTCGCTGCTGATCCTATCGCTCCGCCTCTATGTGCGTGGATGGATGATCAAAACGATTGGAGCCGGTACGTATCATGATAGCTTGATCCAGCTGAATTCGGCTAACGTACGAATAGATGACTGGACATTGATAGTGACGTGGGTAAGTTGCTACGATGAGCCTTTACTCTCAAACCACATCTAATGCTTCAAAGATAGCATCTTGCGGCTTCGCTGTCGTGAGCATCGTCCGTATGTCAAACTCGCAGTTTGCATAGACACACAGTAACTTACAAGGCAACAAGAAACAAAATGGGGTCTTGGACTTCATCTTCTAGAAGACATGCCCAATGAGAACGTCTACAACTTTGGACTGGTAAGCAGCGCTCGGATTCTATATTTTCTAAGCGTGGCACTAATTCTAGCAGATTCAATACATAGGCGCACCATTGTAAGCTAAGAAGTGCCAAAAGACATTGGGTCGCATGGCTAACCCTGCTATCAGCTACATCACCAGCATATTGGGCTTCAAACTCAGCCTGATGCTCACCTACCTCCGATTCATGCCTAAAGGCACAGCGCGTACCGTCAACATCGTCGTAATAGTCGCCTGTACACTCTTTCACCTTTCCTTTCTCATCGTGCAACTCAATTTGTGCCAGCCAGTAAGCATTTCTTCTACGAAATGATCAGCGGCCCACTGATCAAGTTTAGATTGCGAAACAATGGGACCCCATGATTACTGGCGGACAGTGCATCTTGGCCGTTCCTTTCTACACCAGCATGGCAGCCTTGACTATTGTCTTCGACATCACCGTGTAAGCGCCACGGCCACCACTGAAATCTTACAGTTCACCACTGACATCACCAGAATGTTTCTTCCCTTTCCTGTTCTACTCAAAAGCAGCATCCAGAAACGCAAGAAAGTCGTTCTTCTGGGCCTGCTCGCCCTCGGTACCTTCATCACCATCATCCAAGTCCTGCGCATCCGCACCGTCAGGAACCTGTCCAACTACCTCGACTCGGGCAGCCTGATCATGTGGTCGACTGTCGAGAACAACTTGGGTATCATCGTCGTTGCTATACCTACACTCGCACCGCTGTTCAAGTATTTCGTCGACAAGACGCAGAAGAGCTCGTCGGGGAATTCCGGGCTCAGGTCGAGGGCGCTTTATGCGTTGAAGTCGAAGCGTGGAACAAGGCAGGTTTCTATTCCGCTGGGAAGCGGGGTTCATAGTACGCACCATGGACGTGGGCCCTCTGAGAGGGGGAGTGAGGACTCGATTTTGAGCGATGCAGGAGCGATTACCAAGAAGACGGAGGTTACGGTTTCGTCTGACGTTTTGGAGGAAGCGGATAGGTGTAGGTAGTAGCGCAATGTTGATCATATTTCCGACCAACAGTAGTATCGTGTGCGTTGGGAGGGGCGTCGGGATATGGGTTCGCATCTGATATTGTGTGCTGTGATGAAGAATACGCACTGAGATCTAAGAATGCAAACCGAATGAGAAAGGCTGTTATCGTGGCTAAGACGCCCATGTGATGCTGATGGAACCGAGCAATGTCGAACTCTCGCTGATAAGCAAAATCAAACAAGGGAAACAGATGCTTGGTTATAGTGGCTTCATGGCTTCATCGAGATGGGTACTGTTCTCCATCCAGAAACTGACATGGAGTCCTCGATGTGTTCATAGTCATCAGAATCATCTTTAGCC